GCCGTCATGGACAAAATGAAATCCAGGATATTAGCTTAGAAAAAAGAACGAAAATCAAGAATGACAACGAAATTGCATTGGAGATCTCGTTCTCGAGAAGAGGATATTTAAATCAAGCACACATGTATGTGACTAATAATTGCGACATTTGTGACTCTTTTTATATATGTTACAATACGATACAATATCAATATATAAGGATAAGGATAAGTTAAATACAATAGAATGTTCATTGTCTGAACTAATTGGGAAACAAATCCGTTCGGATAAGCGATTTTTTGAATAATCAGTTTGAAAGAAAAATTTCATAAATCATTTCATAAATCAATTAAAAATTAAACAGCTTTAAAATGTAGCTGTTTATTATGTAAAAGAATACATGTCTAGTAATCAGTAGATGCTTTAAAACTTCTATTATCTCTTAATTTGATATGTAAATTAAAAGCTTTCTTCTGAATTAATACATTAATACATTAAGATTCATTCGTACACAGTTCGATTTAATTTATCATCGTTTTTTATTTTCAAGAAATGAAAATTCTTCTTATTACCGGTTATTTTAAAATTTCAATACTATTAATTCACTAGTTTTAACGTCGCTAATTGTAAATTTTTTAGTTAAATTAAACATTCAATAATATTTCATTTATCTTTTAATTTCAGTATTACTATTTTTCTTTTAATATTTAATTTGTTATAATTTGTTATAATGATGGTATAAATGAAAGTACGTAAGCAGTTCAGTTATTATTAGACGAAGCAAAATACATTGCTAGATATATAGTTTACGTATACATACATAATGAGGTTGTATTCGGATAATTGAAATTCGAATGATCGACGTTTTGAATAACCGATGTTATGTTATATGATCAATTAATTGTTCATATGAAAAAAATACTCAAAATACTGTTATAATATTTAATAGATAAATTTAAATATATATTTTTTTTTATTATTATTTATTTTTAAATTTGATTTTCTTCTTGTTGTGAACCATAGAATTTCCCCATTATTTGTGCTATTATTCAGACTACATCCAGTATAAAGTAAATAACTGTACAAATGCGAATAGACATCATCTTAAACATAATGTAAACATGCAAATAAAATATAAAAATACAATATGATCTAAAAAAAAAAGGAATTCTTTACCGAACTCAATGGTCTTGAAATATGTGTCGTGGCCATTGTTCTGAACAACTTTTTTCTAAACATGTTACCGCTACTCGCTATTAATTTAAAATATACGTAAAAAAACATTCGGCGAAATTTATAAAAACGTATTAGTTTGGTTAAAATTTTGAAGATAGCTTCATTCTACATAAAAACAATTTATGGAAAGGAATTTAAAAATAAAAATAAATAAACAATTATTTTGGTGCGTTTACACCATACAAATGAGTGCTCGTTCGCCCCCTACTCCGATCAAATTTGTGCTTATATTCATATCGTTATGTTCATAACGAGTATTAATGTAATAAATGAGAGCGAATTTGTTGAACATCTGAACAAACATTCATTCATTTGACGCACTATTTGGAATAGAGCAAATACAAACGACTCCACTGGTTTCAGCTGCTGGCCACTTTACGATTCTGGTCTAACTCAAACACGATCTATAAAATATATACAACATGTAGTATTGAAAGTATTTTTATGTACATATATTTGTATCGATGCAGGTTATCGACCGTCTAATCGGTTTATACCGAATGAAGATATCATCTGAGAAAAAATTGCAATATTTTCTAAATGATTAATTATATCCAAAAATGGATTATATCTTAATTATATCCAAAATTTAGACATAAGTTGAATAATTTCGAGAATGGGCATTAATTGATATAATGTACATATATCCATCCATAGAAGGCATTTGAAGATCAAGTTTATTTTTTTAAGCGAAATTGTATATTTTTTAATACTTTCGCTGCCACAGTGGTCCCATGGGACCGGTACTTGTCTTTTCATTTGGGCCATGGTAATCAGCGGTGACTACCATGAGTAAATTTTTAAAATCATTCATTTCAAGACAAATGACGTCGAATAAAAATTAGTGAATTATACCTAACCTCATTAATTAAAAAATGTGCCACTCGACAATAACAAATTGTGGAAAAAATATAAAATAGAAATAAAATGAAATTTAAAAGAAATTTTTTAGAAATGGAAATTAAAATTTTAAAAATAATATACCAATATTAAAATATACTGTAATGATGTGGGAAGAATAGCACTCCTACAAAATAGAAACTTCTCTTACAAGATTTTCTTGAAATAATATTTCCGCAAATACAATAGTTCAAGTAATAGCGTAGCATTATAATCTTACTTCTTTGACGGATAAGCACAGACTGTCTCTAAATTATTCGAAATTACCGTTTAAGCATCTTTTCTATCTCTCTCCATCATTTCTGAAATTTGTTGTAAAGATTAACTGCATCATGGGGACCAGTGAGAAAAATGTGCTATTAGCAAGAGTATGCTGTTACTTTGCGTATATTATATTGCGCAATTCTTTATCGTTATAGACTTGTTAAGATGAAATTTGTATTGTGGCCCCATAGTGCAAATTCAAAAATTCGCGTGGCAGTCAACGTATATTCATACCGAAGTATAAAAAAAAGTAATAATTTACTTATAAAAAAAGGTATTAATTTGTTTAATACTATTTATATCGAAAAACCTTTAGTTCAAAAGTATATATTAAAATATTATGTATAAAGTGTGTATGTAAGTAGGCATATTAACACCAATGTAATGATATTTCTATATTCTTCGACAATTCGCTAATGCATATCTTTAGTAGTTGTTAGTACATGGACGTTGAAAGATAGTAATTATAACAATTAATGCCCTTCTTGAAACCATTCAACTTTTATCTAAAACATTTGAATGTAATTAATTGTTTTTAAAATATTTCAGTTTCTAGTCTCTTAGGTATATTCACCTGACATATTCTAATTGAAAAACGCATTCTAGAATGTTCCTTTTAAAGAAAAATATCGGTATTGGCATTTGTTTGAGTAATGAAAGCTAGCAGTTAACGCTACCATAATTTTCACAATAATTTACAAAAATAAATGATTTTACGCACATTCGTAATCGGCTAAGTATGAAATGCTGAAAGTTTGAACGTTGATAGTTATACTGCTATTTATTAGATGTGTGCGATCGGGTCGAATTCTTGAAAGTACAGATGTGCGAGAATCCGAAAATTTCGGGTATCCGATACTCAGATCGGATCATGAATTGTCGATTCCATTCTGATATTTTTAAGTTTTCATACATCTCTATAAAAAATTCCAAAACAATCGGCAAGATCGGCATTCAACGTGTAAATGAATAAGTTGTCTGCGGCATCAAAAAAAGGAAACATGTCATTTATTAAAGTATAACATTTTATTATAAATCGAAGTATGATATTCCATTATAAATCAAAGAATCATTGAAATCGATGACACTTGCTCTTTAAAAAGTATAAAATCTATGGATCAATAAGATAACATCCAAAAGAATTTCTCGAGATTACATGATTATAACAATACCATTATGAATGTCATTGAATGTCGATTTTTTTATACGTCATAAGATTATCGAAAAAAATATAGAGCTCCGTTTAAAAAGTTAACCAATGTTCTTGAAATCTTGCAAAAATGACGTTGAGAACGAATCGATTCCTCGTCAAACGTACCCTCTCGAAACAATGTAACTTTGTCAAACATTTCTTGTATAAAATTTAAAATAAAAAAATTATTTAAATGCTCCTCTAATATACTACTTTGTATATTTACATTTATATTTATATTATACAAGATGTACAGAAAGCTTTATATTATAAATTATTTAGAAAAAAGAAAGTAATGTTATATTATACAGACATAGAATTTATTATATAAAAATCAGCCGATACAGATTAACTAAAAGGCAAGTTTAAATTTTCCATTATGAAGAAAAAATTCAGAATTTATTTTCGTTAATTATTTTATAATGCTTTTGAAGATGATAATTATATTTACCATTTTCTTAGTATTTTTTTTTTTAATTTTTCACTTTGTGAAAACGATGAAATGCAAAAATTTTACATAATTTTACATAATTTTGCATAACTCGTAATTGAACTCGTTTCATGGACAACGAACTTATCCAGGATTTTTTTGTTTCTTTCCTGTGTTCATCCTGACAAATTATCTACAAACATAAGCATCTACAGAATTATTCATAAATAATGTACGCTACTCAGCGATAATAATTAGCTGTGTGCCTTTTTTGTGCAATAACTCTCATTTTATCACGCTTGCTTTCTTCTGGCTAACGCGATGCAATGCGATGCGATTTCAGACGAGTTTAGTTCAGTGATCTCTTTAGATGCATTATTATATGCATGCAGAAAATGGCTTGATCGCGAGTGGTATCGTGAACTTCCAGATTTTATTTAGAAAAATCGAATAGATACCGTGAAACTGAAATCGGACAGGCTTTGCAGTGTTTACGATGAGAAATGGTTGAAAATGAAAAAGCCGCGTCCTAATACGCATCGGCCAATCTTGTTTCCATTCTGACATCTTATCCAATTTACATATTTATGGTAATGTAATCGCTTTGTCAGATGTATACGATCGTTTGTTTCAACTTACTGGTTGCAGTTCAATTCTCTTATTTTTCGCGAGACTTCATAAGATGAGTTTAAAGGATTATAAAATTCTATAGAATTTATTGTTTGAAAAAATTAATCAGACACTTTGATCGTTTGAATAAGGAACTATTTTATACATTAATAAATAATATTGTATAGATAATTGTTATATACACATATTATATATGAAATATTATGTGACTTCTTCAAAATATATCATAGTATTAAATTTAGAAAATTGTTGATTGCAATATTAATTATTATTATTAGTTATAATATTATCAAAGTAGTCGAAACAAATAATTAAAAGCAAAGGCAAAAATAAGAGTAAAAGTTAACGATAAAAATTGTTTCACTATAGATTGAACGTGAAGTTGTTTTGTCATCGGGAGACAAAAATTCCAAGATTCCCATTCTTCACGAGTACAAACAAAGAACTGCCGGAAGAGTCGCAATTGCACCGGATGCACCGATCAAACAACAGGCTTGGGTTCAAGAGGTGAGCTAATTCTTTTGTTAATCTTCCTTAAGACACTCAAATTTCTTATTATATTATAATTAACCGTTAGTTCTACATATAACAACATAAATATTGTTTATTTATTAACATGCACTATAGCACAATGTGAATTAAGTTAAGTATTAAATACATAAGTAATTTTAAATTGTGGTTTTATACTCCTTAATTACTAAATTATAATTTATAATTTGAATAAAACTCTCTTAGCATCATAGTTTAAAATAATTAATCATTTTTACAAGGTTTGAAAACAAGATTTGTCTTTTTTAATAGAATATTATAAATATAGACCTCGATGTTTATATTTAGAAAATGTCAGCTGATAGTATGAAAATAGATACAAGAAAAAAGTGAATGAATGTCTATTCGCATAGATGATCATTACGAAATCTTTTAATTGATCAGCGATTGACTCACGCAAGTGCAATTCTAGTGAACTATAGTGGTCGGACACCTACGTAAATTGCTTGAGATAAGAGTAGGTGTTGGTAATGCACGTGCTATGATGATTCGATCATAGGATAAAAATGAATGTGAACACACATGTACAATGTGTACAATGTGTACAATGTATAAATAATGTGAAAAATTATCTTTGATCTATATTCACAATGTCACGATGTTTTCTATACAGCTGATGTTTAAATTGTTTTATATGTGTTATATTATATTGTGCGAATAATTATAATTAATAATTGTATGAATAATTAAAATATTTGTTTGTATTAATATTAGAACCTAAGTGATCATATTGTTCACGTTCTGTTTCCTTTGATTTGTTTCTAGCATGGTAAACAATTATTATATGGAAGGCTCAGAAGCCAATAATTAAAAATAATATGCCATACAAACATACTTTCATTGTCAAAATCGACAGTCAATGGAACAGTTTAGTTATAATGATTACATTATAATAATTAAACTCTTCCACCAATTAAAGAAGTATTTACATAGTGCAAGTTATTTTTAACGAAAAGCGACTTACACTGAGTCCTATAGAATGTAATACAAAACTTTGAACAAAAGATTGAAAATTTGCGTAATCATAGGATTTAATGTTTTTTCGTCATGATATTATTAATATTGATATTACATATTTTTTAGTTCACTATAGCTATCAGAGCTATTGTTTTTGATGACGTAGGTGTTTTGGGTTATGTTGCAAATCTATTATTTATGTACTTCTCTTAATTCGTACATAAATCTTTTTGTCTGTTTAGCTGTCACAGTTTAGAAGACATTCGTAGATATAGAAGTAGGAGATATTCATACGTATTATTATTATTGTTATTATTATTATTAATATTAGTATTATTGTTATGATTTTTTTATTAATTATTTTATTAGTTATATTTTATTATTTGTTAACATCTTGCATGTGAAGCTTTTGATGGTTAGAAAGTTCATATTTTTTTTAAATTTAATACGGTGTAATCCTTAACATTGTAGCTGTGCAGCAAGTCAGAAAATCTTTTTTCGTATGCGCAAAGCGTGTGATGAAGCCCTACGAACAAAACTCCACTCCATTCTCTTTTTCCTGCCTCTCTCTTTTTTTATTCTTTTGATTGTCAGTGTCAGTTGTTATTCCAACCGCATGCCTGCCTAAGAACCAAAAGATTCAGTCCGACAACTTTGAAATTCTTTCTGTGGTTTAAACGGATACGTTCCATTAGCCGCCCACTGTTCTCTTCAATAGAGAATTGTTTTCGGTAGATTCTGACAAATTGCGTCGAGAGAAATTGCACGCCTTCCCCTTTGCTGAGGAATGTTTTGTTTCAGTGGAATATTCAGTAAGATAAATAGTCGGCATAGCTTCCGATCGTCAGTTTGGTATCGATAACTAATAACTATTAACTCGATAGCTAACAGTTACATCCTTATCATAAAAATAACTAAAAAATAATTACTTTATTATTACTTTGCTTTAAGATCACGTATGTATGTCGATTACAAATTTATTTTGTTTGTATAATCATTAAACATTTATTTATAATAATTAAACAAAGAAATTAAAATGTATGTTGTAAAATGTAGTATTAGTTGATAATGCAATGAATGAGTGACGCAATAAAAATTCAAACGAGAATGGAAAAGATTCTTATTATCTTTAAAACGATACTGTTAAAACGAAATTAACTAATTCCTAGCATCATGATACCCTATTAAAACCACAGTAATTCCACATGCTCTCAAACTAAAAAGTCCAAAATTGTAGCATTTAAGCTGGATAATTTAATAATGAATCGCATACTTTTTCTTCCATTGTATTACATACGTATTGATTTATTACTTATTCGTGTCTTGTAGTAAAAATTTCAGGTGTTTCCCAATCATTTTATCCATCGCTACCAGAACTTTTCTCTGATACTAGTTGCACTAAACTCCAAGCTTGACAATCGTACATGGCTACAAATAAATTGATGCTTTGGTATAAAATAATATAATTTATTAGCTTATTAGTGTTCATTGTTCGGTATTAGGCGTTTAGACATTTACCGCTATTTGTATGTCGTATAGTAACTATCAATCGCGAATATCAGGCAATTTGATTAAATTTATTTATTCGAGAATATTTAAATAAAAATCCAATATACAATAGGTATATAAGAGTCACGGCTAAATTTATAATAAAAAAATAATCTTTAATATCATCAAAAATATTTTTGTAATACTTTAAATACACAAAAACTTATGTAAACTTAGTGATATTTTATATATGGTTAATTTTGAGTGACAGAAAGAGCACTTTTGCAATTTTGAATAACCATTTAAAAATATTTATTTAAATTATTATCAAATGCTACACAACTTTTAGCTGAATTATTAATATCTTAATTATTTTTTTATCTCAATTATTATTCATATTTCTTAAGTGTTCATCGGAATTACTATTTTTATAAAAAAAATGCCGGTCTTCTAAAAATTAATCTTATAGAGAAAATTATGAAGAAATCTTATAAAAGACCTTTTAGAAGAAAATTTCATTAAATGAAGAAATAAAGAAATTAAATACAGAAATAGAGAAATTATATATTTTATATATATTTCTTTTAATCCAAATTCAGAATCGTGAATTGGCACTAACGAAATGTACGAATTTCGTGAATACAAAACAATTGTAAATTGATGAAGAATAGCTTGAAACATGAAAAAAGATCAATGTGCCTAAACAATTTTTCAGGCAACTCAGATGCAAGAAGTGAGACAAGAGGGTCAAACAAGGAGTTATCAATCACCAGAGTCTTATGTGTAAATATCTCTTTCTATTGCACTGCACTCAGTGAATCCGAAAATTGATTTTCAAGATAAAGTCACAATTTCTTTAAAGGTCGACATCAGCTGCATCGCTGTTAAGAACAGCCAAAATCGATGAAGAGAAGAGCAAATCCATTTCAAAGACTTATCATACGATTAAGGATATGATATCAAGCCGTTTTGGACAGAGTCGTAAGGACGTTGAACCAGAACCGGAAGCGAGCTTGAACAATGTTACAGATGAATTGAGAAAATCAAGCAAGAGTATCGATGAAGAAGAGACGAAGAAAAGGGAAGGGATTTATGGGAAACCACGAGCACAGGAACCTCCTATTAATATGCAACAATATCCAAAAAATGCTTGTGGTTAGTTCTGTACACATATGCTTACGTACAAAATATCCTATTAATCTATTGGCTTGTGATTTGTTAGATATACAGAATGTAATAGAAGAAATTTAACATTGCTGATGTTCTGTTGCTTGATTTTAATTTGTACATTTCTGAAAAAACTCTCGTACTATATTTCCACAAATCGACTAGTGTCTAGATTAAAGAACCATCTATCTGTATGTAAAATGAAAATAGAAGTGCATAGAAGGTCTTTCAGTTGACCAACGAGAAAATCGCCTTTTCTAATCTCGAAACATGCTATCAGTTTTCGATATCAAGTATCATATGTAATATATGTACATGATTTTTACATATATGTACTATATAGCTAAGTATAATTAATTTTGGGGTATAGATCAATGCCTATAAAAAAATTTAAAAAAATTAACTACTATTAAATTTTTTTAATTTCGTAATTACAATTACATAAATTTTTAAATTTAAATATTTTTCAATATATATTTTTTTGAATATAAAAACTACTCTTATGTAAAAATGGTTAAAATATGTTACTACTTTGGTTAGTAGGTTGAAAACTAACCAACCACTGAATTGGAAATTCAAAATCCTTTACCTGTAGCTAATAGGGTTGTGGCAGACTTCTTTATCAGAGTGAAATCATTCAGCTATGTTACCTTTTTGATTAATTTTTTAGCGGTTCTTACATTTGCAAGAAATTTTTGAAATAAAGTAGCTACAAACACTATCTACGAAACGTAATAGAAATTCTTCTGAATTAAAAGTATAAAGAATGTAACTAAAATCGAGTTTATTCGAAATCATCCATTTACAACGTGATAAATACAATAACATTTATATAGCGCTTGAACCTGGTTTAGGTCAGTATGGACACTCATATAGTTACCTGAGCAATCAACAGAACGTACCACTTCCTGGACAACTTCAGCCTACATCTCAGATTCAACCCAATTTACCAGGTCAAAGTGCTCAGCTTCACGTAACACATCACACTCCACCTGCAGGAGTTCAAACAGTTCATCAAACTCAAATTCCTGGATTTGGCCAATCAGCAACAGCTGGCCAACAGGTGCAAAGTGTTGCGAGAGAATATGTTGTTCAGGGACCATCTGGATTGCCGAGTCAGCAATTGCATCAAGGACTTCATCAGAATCCTCAGAATCAGGTAATCTTTGATTTTCTTCCGCACTTTATAGATCGCCTTTTAATGCACTTTCATTTCAAACAATTTTAAATTATTTGTCCGAGTCAAAAGTTTCATCGATGAATGTAAACCTAGAAAATAAACGTGAAAGTATTAGTTTCGCAATTTAATTTTATTAAATGAACAATAAATTGATACTTTCTTCTAAATCAGTTATTTATAACATATACGTATGTACATATATATAAATTAAGTGGCGAAATTATTACGACAAATTGTAAGAATAATAATTATTATTTTTCCTACATTCGTTGGAAATGTAAAAATTTCAAGTAAATGAATACTCGTTTCATATGTATTTAATATGGGATATCTTACTAAGAATATATTTCGTTAATAAAATAATCAGTTTTATATAACATTATAATATTAATTATAACGCATAATATATAGTTATTAACTATAACATTATAGTATTAGCGTTTAATAAATTGAAAGATATTAATTTATTTTTTGACAGCTTTTCATTCCATTTTATCAATTTATGATATAGTTTTTAAATGATTTTTATTTTTAATCGCTTTCATATTTTTATATATTTTTATGCTTTTAATATTATCTTTTATGTTTTTTAAATGCACACATTAAATCGAAATAGCAAATGAGGGTTTATTAAATATCGAAATAATGGCTCTATAAAAGAATGAAAAAAAAAAAATATATATATATATATATATATATATATATATATAAGAAAATTTCGTTTTTCTTTACTTTTAATTACACGATGGAAAATTTATTGCAAAAATTGTTTTCAATTTTTCTATGACATTTGAAAAATTTTTTCTATTATTCTGTTATTCGTTTCATTATATAGAGTATAGAATATGATACGTTTCGAATATATTCAGTCGATACACTTTCTCGTATGTTTCTATTCATAACAGTTTGTTCACAAAGGAATTTTTAGATGTTAAATGTTCCATTTCTCCATCCAATGTGTTTTCTGTGCAGAAATTCTATTTCAAGTAAGAAGCGATTGAAATGTTTTCGATACACATAAAGTAAAATCGTTGATGGCTATTTCCGGCGTAACCAACGAAAAAGTTAATTTTATAGGGAAGGGAAGACAATCTTTCCCTCATATAAATTCAGAAGGGATAATAACATGATACTTTCTATTCAAATAACTGATACCAAACACCGTGGTATTCCATATTTATGCCATCTAAATTCGACCAATAGACAGCATGATGCACTGAACGTACATATATACAACATTCGAAATTTATTAACATCCTAACTTCATCCAACACATTATTTCATTAAATGATTTTTTTTTTTTGAGAAAATAATTTTTCTAATCGATTCTTTGATATTTTTCAATGTTATTCAAGGACTATTTTTTAATTATATTATGTACTATATTATGTACTATTTTATTTACTTTATTCTTTAATGAACTTCCAATACTTTTATAAATACCATGACATAGTGAATACTTTTCCCGTTGCTCTTATATCAAGTCCATGCCGTCATTTTCTCAATGAACTTGAAAAGAATCACTTTTTTTTCTTTTTCTTATTAAGGATAAATTTTTTATTTTTTTATTTTTTTTTTGAAAGCATAATTTATTCGCGTCGGAAATTAGTATAACGTATCATTAAAGACAATTCATTACTGTAATTGCAGAAAAATCAACGAATCGCTGCGTTTTAATTAATATGTAAGATAATTAATGAGAATGCAAATTGCTTGAAAGAGCAGGTAAAAATAAATGTGGAAATGCTTGCGTTTTGTTCACTTCCGTGCTCGAGATCCAACTAAACTGACAACTAAATTATTCATTTACAAGTGCTTATATCCTGAAAGAGTTGTTAGCTTCGTTATTATGATAATTCATCTTTGATACAGTTATTTATTTTTAAGTAATTAGATATCTAGAGAATTTCTTCGTTATACATATTTAGATATTTATAAGCATAGATATTTACATAATTGTCTATACTAAAGATGTTGTAAGTAGATATTACAAAAATCTCTGTGATTTAATTATTATTTTTCTTACGATTGTTGAATATCGTAATATATACTTTCTATCACTTTATTAACATATACTTTATATCATTTTTTGAAATATTTTTTGCTACAATTCTTGTTATCAATTTTTCAGTTTGACGTAGTTTTCATGCTTTGACAATAATAACGTACTATTATTTTGATCTGTAAATCATCTTCCATTCTTTTATTTATATCACGTTTTATTACGGTTTGGTCTTCTCTGTATATTATAATGGAATAGAAGATTTTTTTGAATAATCTATTACAAACAAATGATACTTTTAAATGTATAAAATTTTATGCATGATATAAAATGCACGTTATTTTATAATGCGATGAATTTCCCAGGATTAATAGGAACGATTTTAAAATGCAGGGCCACAGTACGCAGATACAGAAATCTCACGGTCTGGGAATGCAATCCCATCAAATAGGGAACACGGCGATGCAACCATCGAATCAAAATTTCCAAAGTGCCCAGCAACTGTTGCATCAAAATCATCAAAGCCCCAGATTCGCACAGCAGCACGCGCAGAACATACACCAACGACAACTGATCCAACAGATGCATCAGCAACAACTAGCCGGACAACAGAATAGTCAAACTGGCGGCGTGAGGAGCATGCAACAGCAAAACTATTTCTCGAACAACGTGTCTTATCGGCAGTACCAGCAAGCTCGTCAAGTTATGTCAAGGTCTCAGATCGATCTACCTAGCACTTCCAGACAGGCTCAAGAGCTCAGACTGTCTGGACAGGAAGTGTATTACCATTATGCCCAAGGTCGACCAAGGTACGGTGTACCGCAAATCTACATGAAGACTGAAAGTAATCAGGAAGCGGAATTTCAACGACAAAACTCGCCAAAAGGTATCGAGAAAGCCGTGTCTCAGCCGCAACTCTCTTACGAGGACGAAAGATCTGGTTGCATTAACGAACAGTCAAAAAATCCGGTCGATGGGATGAAAACTCTTACGATGGATCCATTGGACAAAGAAAGATATGAGATTACAGTGGAAGACCGTGGACAAGGAGAATTCGGGAAAACCGAGTCTCAAAGAAAAGACGAATATCGAGCTGAAACTGGCTTCGCTATTCGCAGAGACGATGCTGTTAGATGTTCTAAAAGAGAACAGGAGCAATTAGCACCAGCTAGCTCCTGTCAAGAGAATCAAGAATCGGAAACATCTTTTATACAAAAGAAGATCGAAGAATTGCAAAAACGACCTGAGGAGAATCATTATAATGTAAAAGTATCGAAGGAAAGCGTGGAAACAGATATGGGTAGAAGTTTGTCTGGCACAAAAATTGGAAACGGTGAACCTCTGAAGAAAATGGAGAATCAATACGCCAAAGATTCTGTAATGAAATCCGAAACAAGGAAAGACGAGCTTGAACATGGCATCAGCCGATTAAAAATCCAGAATCAGGGATCTGGCTCGGATTACGATAAAGCAGGACAGAGTTCTTCCAACGTTGATTCGGGAAGAGGATCTGCTGTTTATTCCAGTGGAAGACGACCTCCGCCTGAAGACCAAACTCATCCTCCAGGTTTGTTTGTCAATGGATCTCTTTCGCCACGATGAATATTTCATAGTATTTTTATTTTATTTCAAAATATATATGTAAGAGGTAAGTTCTTTAGTTTTCTCAAACTTGTAGAGTATAGATCTATATCGTAAATACTTTGTTCATAACAATCTACGAATAATCATGGATTGAAATATAAGTTTACAACCAAAAATATTTTTATAGGTTTATTAATCTAGGTTTAGGTTATTATTAATCTAATTAACGATTAAAAGACCATTTTATTCATTTTACGCATATATGTCAAAAGTTTGGACGGACTTTCATTGCATTTGTATTATATTCTTTATTTAATTCTTCATTAAGTTTGATATTTTGCAATATATTATTTTCAGAGCAGATTTTTCAGCTACACTATACAGCAATAAATATTTCTGTTTATTACCTATGTATTAAAATACTATACATAATGTACTGTGTATTAAAGCACTATAAGTATATATTGAAAATACATATGGATATCAGAAAAGCCAAGTATATATTTCACATACGGGTATCCAAAGCTTTTGTCAATAGTAGACTATTTTTGTCATAATTATTTATTATAATTACGTAGATTTACTCGGACTTACAGTACAAGACTCCGAATGGGTGGACATAGTCGAATCAGAACTGCGAAGCATTTTAGAGCCAAGAGACGTGCCTGCGATGGCGCATTCTACCCTATCTGAAAGTGTATCATCGGTAACACCACCTCTGCCGCCGCTTTCACCCCATGAAAGTCCCAGAACACCGAGAAATCGATACTCAACGAGGTAACAAACAGATCTCTTCATCTCATAGCCGATGAATCACTTCCGGTCACTGCCCCAGAGCTGCTTCCGATTATTCCTACCCTTCATATAGATCGAAACACCGATATTGATGGATCAACCTAACCAACCGATCAAATTGTTGAGTGTAGGCAGACGAGTGCGCTCTTTTTAAGCCAATGTCGTATTGAGAAATCAGACTATGGAAACGACGAGTAAATTTAGGTTTTAAATCACCTTTTTTGTTGTTTTATATCGCCATATAAAAAGTTTTATTACTAGCAATAATAAACACGAGAAATAATATTCAAAAGAATTAATTGAGTAATCGTTCGAAATGATTATGTTCAAGTATCTAATGATCGATTGATTTTTGACGATCGTGTGTGATGTAGTGATATTACTATTGTAATAACTGACCTATGATTACTTTATTTATTAACCAGTCTATTATTACTTTATGTATTAATCAATATTAACTCTACTCCAGTAATATTCATAGTCGTAGTAGTCATAGATAATAATAATTATTTACATTACATTTGAGGATTACATTGGGTTTTAAATTTTTAAGTTAGAAGACCCTAAATTATTTTAAATTTAAAAAATAATTAGTGTTTTAAAATTAAATAATATTTAATTTTTATCATACATCATCTGCAATCTAACGATACCAATTAACAGTCAACTAAATATTAACCAAATAACTAATATTAACGATAAAGTATCTAATTAAGCTTACTAACCTTTTCCTGTTATTTTTGATAATTAATTATTCTTTTATCATCAGTTTCTTGGCAACCATAATAGTTGCATATTTGTGGACCTTTTAGTTTGCCATACGGATCAAAACCTAATTACAGCGATTACAGCAAAGCCATTGAAAAAAGAGGAGGATTTTCGAGTAGTTCGAAGCATCGCGCATCTACCTCAAAAAAAGATGCTGCAAAGAAATTCTCTCATCGTAAGTAATCTTCATTCTTCTCTTTTGCACACTTTTCTCTCATCTTTCCCTAACTTTGTTCTTTAAGGACTACACGAGTATCATTTATTTAGTTTTTGGTGTAGAAGCAGCCGATTTTACTTCAACTACAACTGGACTTGATTTAGATTCCATGTTAGACAGAAGTGATTCCGATTTAAGTACAAACGATGCACGAACGATTAGGAAACAATTAGAAGGTTTAGAAAATATGTACAGCGAGGTGAGACACATATCCTAATAATCTACCCTAAGTAGCTTTCAAAAATTTATATCGAAAGATAGTAATCTTCAACAAATGGCGCCTAATATTTAAATTAAATTTACTTATCCTCAATAATACATATACAATGATATTCAAATAATAATGACATATATACTCCCGTCCATAAGCCACCAGACACTTGCTTATTTTGATCTAAGCAGTTACTAGAGCACAGATATATTTCTCCGGATTAATTTTATTACAAGATTTATACAATCTTGTTATATGTACTCTATTTACTCTATTTCATAATAATACTTGAAAACAAAACTGATATTTAACGTATATGGTCTGAATAAATATTTCAAAGTATATCAAAAATATGTATATATTTAAAAAATCAAATCGATGTATTTTGGGATGAATTGGACAGAAGCCTTCAGAAATGTGTCCAAAATCAAAAAAAGAAAAAGACTTATGGAAGAAATTAGAAGAAGCGTGGAAAGAAATTCTTTCCAAAATATTGTTAAAATTAAACGGAAGTATGCCACGGTTATTGTGGCCTTCATATTTGCACAAAGATATAAGATACATTATATATAACTTGGTAAGATTTTTGACATATAAACAGTTTGACATATAGAATATGACATGTCAAACTGTTTATAATGTATCTCATATCTTTGTGCAAATATGAAGGCCAAAAAAACCGTGGCATACTTCCGTTTAATTTTAACAATATTTCGGAATGAATTTCTTTCCACGCTTCTTCTAATTTCTTCCATAAGTCTTTCTTTTTTTGATTTTGGACACATTACTGAAGGCTTCTGTCCAATTCATCCCAAAATACATCGATTTGATTTTTTAAATATATACATATTTTTGATATACTTTGAAATATTTATTCAGACCATATACGTTAAATATCAGTTTTGTTTTCAAGTATTATTATGAAATAGAGTAAATAGAGTACATATAACAAGATTGTATAATAAAATTAATCCGGAAAAGTATATCTGTGCTCTAGTAACTGTTTAGATCAAAATAAGCAAGTGTCCGGTGGCTTATAGACGGGAATGTACATCTAAATTAAACATGAAATAGCTTGAATTGTGAATGAGAAGCTGTTCATTAGAAAGTGGAATTATCAATTATCGATGATCCTAGGTACTCAAGTTACTCGGCGGAAGTGTTAAAAAAAGGCGAAAGGCCAGAGGTCTTACCAGTTACGGTTCCGTCTCATCGTTGCCAACATCATCCGTTTCGTCGAGACCTGTCACAAGGCACCATGATAAACGTAGATCCCACGCTATCGACGATAGAATGAAGAAAGCCAAAGATATAAAAGTCAGTTCAATCTTGGATTTTCCATAATTCTTTATTGACAATTTCTCATCATTCTTTGTTTTTTGCTCTATTAGTTAAATTGCATTTTATCTTTTCTACATGTCCTTCTTAAAGCTCCTTTTTATGTTATCTTTTATATTGTTTTATATTATTCTATATTGTATATGAACAGTTATAGTTTTTACAAAGATCTTATGAATATTACGAATAAATGTCGAACAATCTGAAGAGAGGCATTGTTCCAAGTGAATAATATTTACTTATAGTTATATAATATGGAATCCCTCATATTTGCAGTTTGTTACTATTTAGAAAAAGAAGAATATATATGTACATCAAACATTTCAATTATGAAAACGCGAATAAACAAAAAATTAATTTTTGATAAACTCAATATCAAAAGATTAACTTTTGATATAATCATATTAAATAATTGACAATATTTCTATTTTTATACAAATTAAAGCTAGATAATGAAAATACTCTATAATAATAGGTATATTATTTATTATATTTTCACAATAAGGAAAATAAAATCGACTAAGGATTATTTTTGCGTTTTCAGAGCATTAATAAACGCTTCCAACGGCTAGAATCTCACGTAGTCACACTTGCCAGATCAGTGGCACATTTAAGTTCGGAAATGAGGACACAACATTTAATGATACAGGTGAGAGACAAACAACAACAACTCATTCAAAAGACAACTCATAAACAACATTTAAAGAACACAACTTCAATTAGAAAAAATTTTAAAAACGGAAATCTTAAATAATATGATTAAACGGATGTTAATAATATGTTGTCTAGTACTTTATAAAGTTTATTTTTATATAATTTATCGTGTCTTTATTGTATATGACAGTATTAATGCATACATATATTTTTAAATATTTAATTAAGTTTTAAAAGTAATTTCATTTCATAAGTATTTTTCTATGCATCATTATTAATAAAGAACATTATTCGTTTTATATGGAATTCATTTATCAATACACATTGAGTTTACTAAAGTTAATTTAAAATTCAAGAAGCTTTCACATTAAATTAATAAAAATCAAATAAAAAAATTACATCAAATCAACGATAATAAAATGAGATTAACAATTATATTCAGTTTCTTTGGAAATATTTAAATATGATTGAAATATTTCAATTTGTCAAGACTCGGATCTTTTCGACAATTTTTTCAATTCGAAAAATGTTTTTAATTTAAAAATTATAATTAAAATAGCATTCTATACAGGTGACTAGCTTTTTCCGGCCGAATATGACTAGTAAATTTAGACACTTTATAGATTAAAGAAAGAAAAAAAATGTCATATAAAAATATTTCATTCTTAAAGACTTCTAACAAAAAAGAAAAAAACGATATTCAAAATGAATAATAACAAATGTACATTATTATGGTACAATATAAATAAATCAGGAATACGAATAAATCAGGTAGCTTAATAATAGTCATCTAATAATATTCAGGAATATTTGCATCTAATAATAGAAAATCGTCATACTTCATCTTTAATTTTGAGATATTCCTCATTCCTGTAATACAAAGTTTAAACTTTATTTTGATCCTGTTTTAATTCAGCTAATGAATAATTAATTTCTCGGATTAATTCATCACGTGTATTAATATTCATATTCTTTATTTTTCAAAGTTAAAATAGTTTCATAGTTAGTTTTATAGTTAAAATTCTAATGAAATGAAATAAGGCAATATTGGGAGTTGTTGAAATTGTAATGTAATGAAAAAATATTATGATACCTTCTGACTATCGTTGGAGATAAATATTCTTGGTCTATTCATATATTGTATCATAATAATGCATATTTTTTACTGCTTATTTTATGTAACATTAATTCTTTAACTCCAATTTGCTATATGTTTATATGACTTTTTTTATTTTACTTATAAAATATATCGGCAATGTTTGATTGGAAACTGGGTATTTTATACTTAGATTGAAATTTGTCTAATTCTGTAACGATGTTATTAAGCAATTTAACAAAATTGAATAGAGCATAAGGAATAGAAAAGAGTCGAAAAGTAGGTGGAAAAGTAGATCAGAATTTCCGAAACTCACTACTACCAGGTATTCGCAGGAAATGGAGAACATAAGGGGCGAGATTGCTGCACTCCGGACGCAAACGAGTATGGCAATGGTGAGGTCACAGTCTCAACCATTGATCAAGGACTCCGAGCTACCAGCCCTTTCCAATCCTTCGAGGGTGAAAAAACTCACCAAATTCTTTGGCACAGAACCACCACTCATCAGACTGTTCCTCAGGGAACTTGGGTATGAGGTATGTAATTCAAATTATCTCCAATCTAATTCGTTAATTTATCTATTTGCGCGAGAAAATATTCATTTATACGAAAATATTAATTTATTTATACGAAAAAATTGCATAAATAATGGATTAATAATTAAATTAATGAAACGAAGCAAATTTCCAAAAATAATATTTTTTCTTAATCTTAATTGATGGATTAATGATGAATCGATTTTTTTTAATTTTAGTTGATTAATCTGACTTCGTATATTTGTTTAAATGTTGCATCCACTGTATAAGATATATAGAAGGTAAAAGTAAAAGTACAATCACCATGATTCTATAATACATCTCTGGTCGATGAAAATTTAAGAAAAAAGTCCATATAAAATTAATTTTGAGCGTGATTTTCAAGATCAAATTTTGTTTGTTGCATTGCATTTTACTCATTATATAAAAAAAAGGTTTCTAAAAGATCATAGCTTGCAATTCACTGGTTTTCTTTGAAAAAAATGTTAAAGTTTCTTGAATTCAGTTTATTTGTAATCTATAATAAAAATTCCTACTAGACGTGATATTTACTTTTTATATATCCTATTCAAATTCCAAAAAAATAGAAATACCATCTTACAGCTACAACCTTTAAATTTTTATTATGTTATCATACTGAAATTTCATTGCTTTCCTTTCTTTTGTTCAAATTGAACGTGTTTTAGAAATATGCAAATGTGTTCGAGAAAGAAAAGGTCGGTATGGTGGAGCTTCCTTATTTAAGCGAAGAGAGATTACAAAAAATGGGAGTTCCCTTGGGACCAAGGTTAAGGATTCTGCAAGAAGCGAGAATATCGGTGTGCAAAGATCCAATTTACGTCGTGTGAATGCTATAGAACGGCTTGCTTTCTGAAAGAATACCTAGGCAATTCCAAGTACGTACATCCGCTAGTAGCCGGTGAAAGGCAATAAAATACATAATCAAATATTTTACTTGCTCGAACGTTTTTAGAATTTTGAATTCGGTGGATTGTATAATATATTTGAATTCGTATCAAAAATAAATCAATTTTCTTAAGATTTATGAATCATTAAAGTAAACAATTGTTTACTTTAGAAATAAATAAATATTTGAAAGACAAAGAAGTAATAACGAAATTAATTAAACGTTTATTGTACGTATATCGAATATATTGTATACGAATATAGTAAACAGAGCATGGTGTATACGTCTATCAAACATATCCGTACAGGTTTTTATTTTACAAGTACTTTTAAACACTCAAGTACAAATATATTAACATGTTTTATTCTAAATTCTAACATTAGTAAATCACAAAAGATATGAATGCTAATTGAGAATATTTCAATGAGAAGTAATATCTGTCAATGAAAAAATGTTTCAGAAATGTATCAGTCACATATAGATTAAAGCTAAAGGAAGAAAGAATTATTGTTCATGACTCTAGAGATTTTGTCATTCATAAACTTATTTTATTTTCCTTTTGTAATTTATTATAAATTATTGATCGAAATACATATCTATGTGTAATACTTATATTATAATACAAATGATAACTGCCTCAGTCATTATTATAGTTGAATATTTCACGCATCCTTAAAGTATTATACTAAGAGAACAATTAGAAAGTTAAAACTAACTAGTTAAAAAGAACAGTTTAAAGTAGAAGAAATAATATCAACGTCATTTAATGTTAATCAATATATAAATACCTTTTACGGTATTGTCAGTTCTAAGCATCACTTATTACCTTCACGATATTGTCTAAGCATCGCCTTATATAACAAAAATAATTATAATTACTAATTAACGATAAAAACAATTTTTGATTGTACTGAAGTGTCAAGTAAACATCCAATTGTAATGAATATTAGCGTAACTTAATATTTATACACTATACAATTATAGCTAATCAATCATTTAAGATAGTTTGAACAAAATATATTTTGTTATACAGACGTATATAACGTGTACATGCTACATAGATTTGTATTTTTGTAATTGATCGGTCTGAATTGATGGTAGAAATCGATTCGACTGTTTCAATCGAGAATAAGCTCAAGTGAGTATGTATTGAGAACGAGAAGCAAAAATTAATTTGCCAAAGAGACGGGAAAATGTCGTCGACAAAGTGTGTTAAGAGATTATCATTTGAGAGGAATCAAGTGAAATTTTTCTCCTAAATGTGCTATTGTTTTGACTTGTTATTACTACCGCTTCCAAAGGTTATCTCATTCATTCAATCGTTTTGTTTTGAATAATAAATAGATTAGATAGATTTTAGTTTTTGCTTACATTACATTTTGAAAAAATTTTATAATCTATATCGATAATACTCCAAGAAATCAAAAAATCACTCAATTACAACTGAAAAATTATCGATTTTTGAATTCTTACAATATAATAGAATGTCGATAATTCAAACTAATTGGAAGACAAATCCGTTCAGATAAGCGATTTTTCAAATAATCGGTCAAATTTGTGATCATGTCATAAATCAACTAAACAGTTAAATTAAATAGTTTCCAAATACAGATGTTTATTATGTAAAAGAATACATGTACATGAATAAATAGATGTTATAAAATTTTCATTATCTCTTCATCTGATATGTAATTTAAGAGCTTTCTCTTGAATGCAAGATTCATTTGTACTAACTTGATTCAATTATCATTATTTGCTATTTTCAAGCTTCTATACAGATGAAAATTTTTCTTAGTATCTAAGATATTTTGAAATTCTAATAATATTGATTCACTATTTTTAATATAGCTAATTGCATATTGTCTAACATAATATTCTATGATTAAATTATATATATTTCTTAAAAATATTGAATAATATTTAATAACTTTTAATTTTGGTATTACTCTTTTTCTTTTAATAGTATTTTCATGGTATAAATGAAAGGAAGTTCGCTTAAATAAGACAAATAGAGCATTTGAGGCAAAAATACGTATTCCAAAATATAAACATTGTTCGACATTGTTTAAATGTGTACATAATGAGACTGCATTCGTATAATCAAAATTCAAATGATTGACGAATTCCAGATAATCAGCATTCTATTCTACTATATTAACTAATAAAAAACTATACAATATTTTGTTTGAGCTTATTTTATAATGTGAAGATTCGTAGTTGATTCTTTTCTACGATTTTTGTACATTATGAGTAATGTATTTGAACATATTTTCTCTTTTCGAAAATTTTATAAATTCAAATGTCTTTACAGATATTGCAAATTTTTTTCATAACAAAACTTACTATGAATTTAAGGATTGATTTTTTTCTTTACAACAATCTCGCAAAACTTGATACACGACATTTTTTATCATTTTTTTTTTTCAAGTTTCAAGTTGCATAGTCGAATTTATACTTTAAGTGTATATCTTTAGTGTGTATTTAGTTTATTTAATGAACGTTTAATATATGTTTACATATTTAAGATATAACCTGTTTCTGAACATGCATACACATACAATATATATAAATTACCTCATTAAACGTACTGGTATTAGACATACACATATTTAACACCCACCAAAACATATACATGCTCTAAAGCCTCACATTAAACAAAGCTGTATACATACTAAATACTCATACTAAGTACATACTGTGCTTTTCATTAAAAGTACAATAAAATCGCGAAAAATTATTACAGATCAACTTTTTAGAGATTATTGTAAAACTTCTCTTTGTAAAAATATATTTTATATTGAAAGGAATATAAAAAAAAATTTTCTTTAACTCTGTAGAATTTAAATTTACAAAATTTTAGTAACCGCAGTTTTTCAATCTGCTTTATAACAAAAAAGAGTCTTTGAAAAACTTATTTCAAGTATGTGAAAATAAAGACAGAATGTTGTATGATCTTTTAGATTTGAAGTTGCAGGACTTCAAAAATTTTCCAGCAATTTTCCGATTATAATTTCCTTTAACTTCTTAAAATAGTGTATGTTAAAATCGCGAACTCTCAGCAATAATATATATTTTGATACTTCTATACTCTACTTCTATATATATTTCGATACTTCTATATATAACTATTTACTAAGTACTTCTTCTTATTTTCTTTTAATAGCTCGAAAGAAATTACGTTCTGTAATATGTGTACGATTATAAATCACCAGCTATATTAGATTGTCATTTGAATTCAAAATTAAGTATTCAGAATACTATTTTTATCGAAACTTGCATTCATGTCTCGATAATTCAAAAAATTTTCGTTGAATTTCATTAATTGATTTATTATGAATTTTTTGAAATTGGCTCCTTATTCTATAAAACAATTTCACACTCAAAAATAAAAAAAAGAAAAAAAAATAAGCAGTCCGAAATATTTAATTTTGAATGAAAAATCGTCGATATACTGAATACCTATATATTTCAATATCCTTCAACTATCGATTTGAATATAAATATATCACGTTTGCCCAAAAAGCCTGCTTTGTTTGTATATTTTTGCCAACTAGGTAAATGATATCTTTCCGTGAACTGACCAATTTGTAGATATTTTCTTTGTAAAATTTCAAAAAAAATTCTTAGCTTGCTCGAAAAATAATTTCAACGATGAATATAATTACATATTACGCGTAAAGCGTCATACTATTTCAAATATCTGTTTGGCTATGCTGATTATTATCAAAAAATCAAACTTTTCATTTATTATGTCCAAAAGAAAAATGATAGAAATTATTTTCTGATGGAAATTATTTTCGGATAAAGAATTTTTAATAGAAAATATATGTTTTAATAAAAATATTATTCGCATAACTTGGCAAAAATTGTTCCGTTTGAATAATTAAAATTAAAAGATAGATCTGTTAAAAAAAAGAACTATTACATAACTAAAGTTATAAACTTTAAAGCAATAGCTTAACGAATTGATCATGACTGATCATTTTACATTTCTACATTAAAATGCATTGTTTTGCACGATTATTAGCTTTAATTCTTAAAATTGATAGTTTGAAAGAAATAAAATAAAACTATCTTCGAAAGTGCGAAGAACTTTTGTTTCGTCAAAAATTTCATTTTCAAAAAAATCAATCGATTAAATAAATTAAATGTGTCGTCGTGTGGAAAGGCAGAAAAACAAGCAGTTTCGATTACGGTCAAACATTACATACAAGCACGCGTGAGCACACATAATGTTAGTACCAAATCTTAATTAATTACAATCTCACTGCCAATGATGCTGATTATGTAAAAAAATGAAAGGCTGCTTCGGTTTTCAATCTGATACATATTAATTTTTGTTATTCAATTTATGTTAGACCTGATTATTAAGTATAAATTCCACATTAATTTACTAACATGCATAGTTGTCAATATTTAACAAGCATTGTTACATGTGGTACCTTTTTAACAATTATTCATCTAAGAATATCTCTATGTTATTAAATTCATTTTCCAATTGGTGTTATTCAACACTGCCCGAATTTTCGTTGTATTAATATCCACACTGAATTTTGTACAGTTAAGTATTTGTAAGAATGTTTTAGTAATGTTACATTAGATATTTGTATTATGATAAATATATTATTATCTTGTTAAATTTTATATTTAATAAATAAATGGAGAGAACCATGCGATGGTTTAATAAATCATAAACATTTATTTAACAAATTATTCACACAGGTTTTTAATTCGATAATTTAAACGAAACATACAATTCAAATCAAATATTTTCTAAAACGAAATAACGTATACGAATAAAAGAAAATAAAAAATAAAACAAGAAATACATTTATGAAAAATTATAAATATCATTACTATTATTGAATTTGTGAAAAAATGAAATACAATTTTAAAATGTGATATTTTAATCCTTCTCAAAAGTTATTTAATCAAATTATAAATCTTAATACTTGCTCCTCTGTTGAAAGTTTAAACACAAAGTTTATACATATTAGCTACTATTTGTAAATTACAATTTGTCTGCAAATTCTATGTGTCGTCTATATAACTAAATATTTTTATCTAACGTAGAAAAATATTATTGTTGTATTTTTGTATTTTTTGATAAAGCGCTGCAATTATGCAAATATATGCAATAATTTTTTTAAGTTATTTAAATCCTCTTAGGCATAATTTTCTGTGAAAATAAAACTGAAAGAACAAACTTGTAAAAAAATATGCACAACGAAATTTAAAGATTGTAATATAAAATAACAATTTGGTAATAAAAACAAAGCGGATAATCTCATTGATTTTGATAATTTTTGGAAATTAAATATATTGTTGAAAACATTCTGAATCATTTTTTCCCATATAATTTTTTTTCTTTCATATGGGCTATGTTGTCGCTTTGTGATGTTTAAGTTAGGTTCATTTTTACATACGTTGCATGCTCGTGCCACGATAAGTTTATATCCTTTACATTTCAATTTTTTAAATACTTCTGCACCATGGTGGTGGAATTTTCAACAATTTGCTTCAATACCGGCATAATAATCTAGAGTTGTTCACATCGTACTTGTGAATAGTGAATATGTTTTAATAAAATAAAATAAAATAAAATAAAATTGTACAACTAGATATTTAAATATATAATGCATATAAAACATATTCAATAATTACGGCAAGTTATTTTTCTCTGCTTTTCTTTTTTGTTTCATTGTAACATAAACGGTCGCCTCGCGTCCGCAATTTAATCTAGTCTAACCAAATTCAATTCAATAAAAAATCTGAGTTCTAGCATAAAACTTTTTGTTTCATCTTTCCATAAATTAGTTTTAATTGGGTTAAGTTGCGGTTGCTTACGTCACGAAAAATCCTATCTCTTAATTTTGTAATATACACATGATACCACGCATGTATATAATAATATTAGAACCGTGTGTGTACTACGAAATAGTTCCAGTCAAAAACAGAAGAACGAAAAGTCTACGAAAACGTTTTCTAAACTAGTTCCATGTGAATCAGCCGACTCTTTCAATTGAATAATTGCATATTAACTGTTATAACGCATGGTGTATGGGCCACTAAGTGATCTAGTATTACATCTCCAGACCTCAGACTCAGGTTTTAATCAACACTGTGAAAAATAATTATTTCATTTATTTTATTTATTTGCATCATTGTTGCCAACGACACTGTTTCTTTTTTAATTACACCAACTAATCGCATAATAGCTAAATAATTTCTTACAAACGATAAAAATGATCTATAGTAGACATTTTGTTTGTTTATCATTTAATTCTCTGCAAACATTCATACATTGTTTCATTTTAATCGCCAATAATTTCTTTTGAATAAAAGATTTATTATATATAAGATAAGATTTAGTATTTAAAATAGAGATTTTAAATAAAAGATTAATTTAATAATCAAAGAGGTAACCGAAAACATACCAGTTATCGAATATTGATAAAGAATGATTGAAATTGTTTACTTTAAATAAAAAAAATATGTATGCGACTTTATGAATGATATATCTCTGTTTATTTAAGATGTTTCGATGAAGTATAAATATAATGGTTATGAAATGTATGATTTTGTAATGTAATGGTTTCGATTTGCTTCCGTATTTGCCACTTTTTTCTTTATCATATCATTAATGTGAACTCTGTTATTTTTCTAATGACTCAAACTTCTATGAAGAGTGCATTTGTTAGTGTTTAAAGAATCACTATCTTATATGCGCTGAACGCATATAAAGTATACATTTAAGCACGTAAATCATTTCAGTATTTCTTTTTTATTTTGTTGTTCTGTCCCTGTTTGTCACAATTATACGGACATTATTTGTTTTTAATATTTCGGTTTTTTACTAACGACAACGATAACTATTTATTTTCAAGCACAATGATTCGATAGATTTGCTAAATCAACGTTAAGCAAAATTACAAAATGCTAATAAAAAGTGTGCGTGATATTTTTGACACGAAAAAATTAAAATTAAAGAATTAGGTGAAACTTTGTTTGAAATAACTAACAACGCAAAACTTCGCCTTCGAGAAAACTTTTCAAACGTTAATGGACGAACTTAAATAGTTTCATCACAGAATATAGACATATTTCTATCAAAGTTTGTTACACATTTCATAGAGTAATATCCAAAACTTCCTTTAACGAATCTACTTTATATCGTTATATTTTTAGTTAACCTTATAATCTGTTACAGATGTAAAAGAAAATTTTTATTTTTTTCAATTTTTCATCAAAAAAATTATTTAATTGATTTTAGAATATATGTTAATTAAAAGTTTCCTATATAAGAACTTACAAACTTTCTAGCACCTATTCTACAAAATGTAAATATGGATGTATCTATATAGTTTATATTTTTACAATTTTTTATCACGTAGCTGTCCTTAACTATATGAGTTATTTTAACTTTCGAAGAACTTGTAAATTATAATTTTGAAACTATATAAATATTAATACAGTTACAGAATAAATAAAATATAATTTCATGAGTTTATTTATAACAAGTTAGAAAATAAATTAAGAACCATAATTAATAGGAACATAAATAATCAATTATTACTTTAACCAACCGAAACGTTCTGTCTAGCTATGATATTTTACATTTGATTCTCTTAATAAATCATTCTCTAATTAAATCATATTTAAAAATTTAATAAGATTGAATGGTAAATTGATCGTTTCACTTGTCATTTCGAGTAAGTTTCTAACGTCATAGTGGGATCTAAATCAGAAATAATAAATGAACATTAAGAGGATAAAATGGATCACATATTTGAGATTTCGGCAGAATCGGCAATGAGACTGAGTTCCGGCATGACCGGGCTACTTTTATCAGGAAATGCACAATTTAACAATTGTGTCCAATTATTTTTCCAGAGGTTTGATTGACCATCCGAGGTCGGACCTCGGGTCGCGGCAACCCTTTGCTGGCTTCTGTGCTCGATCCGTATAATGACCGATTCTCGAACTCTTATTTCTAGCTTTGATAATTCAAACGTGTCTTATACATATGCAATAACGACAAGATACGATATAATATGATATGGTATGATGTGATATAATATAATACGATACGATATAATATAATATGATAATGCAATACGTATCTATGCATGTTCAGTCTAATGTAATCCCTGATAGTCGAAGCATCCTAAAAAAATGTGGCGCAATTTACTCCATAATGGAAACAGAAGTTGCAAAGGCATCAAGCACAACGAATTTAGAAAATTGTGAGTATCTTATAATATTCATAGTATAATTCCATCCAATAGTGACCTTCATAGAAAGTAAATACAATTTACTAATCAATTTATCAATAACTTTACATAACAAATTATTTTCATAACACAACATAATATATTATTTCATAACAAATATCAAGATAAATTTATTATTCTTAAGGAATTTATCACCCTTTGCCATCTAAAGATAAGTACAATTTATAAATCTTTTTCGTAAATAATTGAATAGTAAAAACATAAATTGTGATTTTTATTACATGCTTCATGTTCCAAACTTTTTAAGTAAAAATATTATAAATAGTGAAATTATTACTAATAATTACTAACTACTATTTTGAAAAATTTCAAAATTTCATTTTCCAGAACCGACTGCTAGCTGTAATTATTGCAAAAGACCATCTAAAATACAAAAATTCTTATTGATTTCCAAATAGAAATGTATTATTTAAAAATTTAACGATTTTTAGAAATTTCAATTATTATAGAAACGGCAATTGTTTGAAACGAAAAATGTTTCACCATCGAAAACTGACCTTAATTTCAAAAAAAATTAAATAATTAATATAAAATAATTGAGAAAAAATTGTATTCTGTATTTTCAATAATACATTTCAATTTATAAATCAATAGAAATTTTTTATTTTAGATATACCCGAACAGTTGATATTTTAGAGATTTTGATATGAGTGTGATATTTTACAGTATTTTTGATTTAAAAAAAGATTGAAGTATAAAGTTGAAAGTCACATTTATATATACAAAAGAAATTAGAATTTTATATCTAGTAATTATTTATAAAAAGAATTCGGAAACTTCGTCTATCTTTAGATGGTCCAATGTGAACCTCTTAAAGTTACTATGTACTATGATATCTATTTGATAAGATAATATTGACAAATAGATATCAAGTTTGAATAGCTGATGATTAGAAAAAGAAAATATGAAAGATCGATATGATATATATATATATATATATATATATATAAAAGTTTTTAATACGACATTTTAGATTATGATGAGATATATGTTAAGTATTTTCAGTTTGAAAGGAGACAGGAAAATAAATGTGTGTGTGTGTGTGTGTGCGTGTCTCTTTTCAAACTGAAAATATTTAACATATATCTTATCATAATCTAAAATGTCGTATTAAAAACTTATATTAATAATTTCATTCAAAATATATACAAAATTTATAAATTTATATAAAACTAGAAATAGATACTTATTTTCTTACAAAATTTTTTGTTGAATATATAAATGAACTATCTATAAATAAACTTCCAAAAATTATATTGATTTCGAAGTTACCTACGCAATCGTAGACAATAAATTATAGTTGTTTTATTTTCTGCAAAAATGTAAGTTCAATAAAAAAGAGGATATCCATCTTTCGTTTAATTGATTCATATCATACAAGATAGTTATTACGTGTATACTTTCTTTACTCTTTAGATCAATGAATCTGCCTCCATTAAATATCCAGTTTGTTAGGTAGTATATAGAGAAGAACTGAAGAACTAAAGATAAACTTCTGGCAAATATTAAACCGTAGTATTTGATAAATAATGATTAATCGACAAATGATTGTAAAAATTAAGTTCGACTATGGAAACGCGATAACCAATGAATCAAGTGAACAACAGTATAGCGTGATAATATGGAACTGTCTCAGCAGGAAATGAAACAAGCGTACATTTGTAGTTCTCGTAGTTAAAGCATTCTATATGATACTTTGAAAACATTTGCAATATGACATAGACTTTCAGAGATTTTTTACAAGATTTCGAAGTAGTATCGTATTGTTTACTTGCCTTCTTCGCTTCCTCTATACCTTCTCGCAGTATCTCATTATTTAACAATTGTTAATAAGTTGTCAATTTACTTATTTTAGCAATCTTACGATCAAGATGAAAAACCTAGTTAATCCAGAAATTTATAAATTTTTCATTTAAAATATTAATTGCTGATAGGTGTAAATATACTTATATATACATTTGTAATATATTCGATCGTCGTGAATCGGCGAATGGCGCAGCCAATTTGATTAATACTAGAAATATAAAGAAAAATGGATTTAATTTAGGATGTTATATGAATTCATAGAATAGATTAATGAGAACTACTAATGGTAACTATAGTAAAGCTATAGATATTTATATCAAAAATTTTTACTTACGTTTCATGATATTTAAATCAAAAATATATGATATTTGGCAACATTCTGCGAGACAAGTGTGTAGCCAACTTAAGATGCAATTACAATTGACCTATGGCCCCACTCTTTAACCTCCTCCTGGACAGTCGTATTTACATGTTCTGTTCATAGAGTAGAGTCGTCTTTCGTTCACTTCGCAACAATCATCCGTCGAGGATGGACCGAAACGATACGATGTTCCTCTTCGCCTTCTTCCTCCTGGTCTTGTCCACGGTCTACGCGGAACTCGTACCGTGGCGACAGTGTCATTCTGATAGTAAGTATGGATCATACAATTCCACATATACATAATTGCACTATCATACGATTCGATGAATATAAAATAAATTTCAGTTCTTTATAAATGCCATACAAAATTTTTTATTTTCATACGAAATGGTAAAATTTTTGAAATTTCGATTTATTCGAAATTCTTTTTAAAATGATAAGTTGTGCAATAATAATAAGTTTAATTACATAATAATAAAATAAGTAAAATTTTACAAATAAATTGTACTATTATATAATAGTTCTATTTTTTAGTTCTATAGAAATTGGAAAACAATCTGTGTAACACAAGTAAATAATTTACAAGTTGTTATTTGTTACTTCTCTAATATTATGAAATGGAGTCTGAAGGCTATATTAAAAAATAATATAAGGATGATATTAATCCATTTTTGTTGATTTTTATACGATATGTAAAGAAAGTATTTTAATAGCTGAAAAAAAGAACTTGTTAGATCAGAATATATCTATGTTTTTTTTTAATATTATTTAAAACTAGATAATAAATCCATCAAATTTTACAAAAAACTAACGATACAATTAATAATCAATATCTATAAAAAATTCAAAAAAATTATAGAAACGCTCAAAATAAAAAACACGACAATGGGGAAATTTAAGAAATATAGAATGGTTGATATCTATTGAATTTTTAAATCATAAAAATTTTTAAAAATAAGAAAGGAAAATATAATATGTTTGTTTTAAAGCCTTTAATTTTTTAAGTGCAGTATATTTATTTTAAATAATAATTGCTAATAATCATTTATTATTATTGCAGTTTATATATTATACATTATTCACAATACATTAATATCTTTAAATCCGTCTATAAACTCCAAGTCAATCCAAGATCATATAACCACAACTTTGTAATATTTTCATATTGAGAGTATTATATTTTTATTTTTCTCATTGTATTTCATGTGATTAGATAGAGAAAAGCTGATAGACTGGTTTTTAAAATTTCAATAAAAAATTTGCTCCACTAAAAGAAATTACATTATTTTTAAAAATATTATATTTTTAATTAAATAAATATTTATAAATGATAGGGATTTCTACATACTACGTTTCTTCTTACATTGGAAGATTTACAAACAATATAGTAAGAAAAATTTACAAAATTAATGGTATATTATCAGGTCATGCCATTTAATATTTATGAACAATGCTATTATAAGAAGTGATATCTATTGTAATATTATAGATATAATAAGATATGAATATGCATATACATATGTACATGTATACGAATATACAGTCGTTTATGAAAGTATCCGAACATCACATTTTTGACGTTCGAAAATTATAGAATTATCGAAAAATTATCGATATTTAATATTATTTCGTAAAATGAAATCGTAAGAACGATTAAGCTGAGCTTATTTTAAAGCTTGAGATTTCTATTTTCAAAATGTATCATTCGTGTTATTCTAAGATATCTTTACACTGTAACAGATGGAAAAATGAAGACACTTTTTTCTGGAAAATGTTAGAAATTACCATAATATGTAAAAGTAATGAAACATTTTTTTCAACACTAAATTATGGATTTAAAGATAGTTTTCAAAGCTTGCAATACAGTTTTTTTCGCCATTTTATTAAATTTTGAATATTAATCCTAGAGGACGAGAATTTAAGAATTTAAGAAATACATATGTATCTACGAATGTATTAAATTTCTTGACTATATCACGAAGACATATAATACGAAGAGATAATGAGATGAATGAGAAGCAAAAGTTATTTATAAATGTAGTAGAGGCATCAATCACTCACCAGTTTAAACATACACTCATGATTTTTCATATTCTACTAAACCTTTTTGCTTGATATTTGATAAAAGTTAACGTTATTTTTTTTCAGCTGATATTCAGACAAATTGTACTATTCATGAAGTATATATAGATCCCTGTAAAGAAATTGGGGAAGGAAAACCATGTAAAATAAAAAGAGGAGTTATTGGGAATATGACATTTCATTATACACCTGGTAAATATTTACTACTTTATGTATCGTTATTTGTCATAACAAATGAAAATAATAATATATATTTGATGGAAGAGATATAATATAATTTTAACAATTTTCTAATTTTTATAATGGAATATGGAATGTATTGCAAATTTTTACCTTTGCAGAATTTAATATTACAAAGCAACAAATTTTGAGAGTTCATTTTCAAATAGCCTAGACTGACACGAGAACGAACGAAACAATTTTTTTACAGATTTAATAGTAATATTATATGAAAACTTTATTTAGAATATCTTAAAAAAATAAAATGTTTTACCTTTTATTTTTCAGCCTTCTCGTCAGAAAAAGTACAAGGTAGAATTTTTTGGGCAAGTCAAGTAATGGATATTCCATTCTTGGGAATGAGTCCTGATGCCTGTGTATCAACTTTCTGTCCAATCGAAGCAGGGCAAAGAAATACGTATCACGTAGAAATACCAATTTTAAAGAAATATCCTGTTGTAAGTACTTAGATATATATATGTATGAACTTCCTTTAGTTCATTTATTTCTAACTTAATGTAATTAAATTTTTTTGCAAATATATTTCTTAACTAGATACACTTAGGAAATTATCAAATTCTATCTTCCTATAATTTATTATAATAACTTCATACTAATATTTTTTTTATTTTCAAAATTATTTCGAACTCTTGTCATAGAAAAATTTTTATGTATATATGTGTCATACATATGTGTGTCATGTAAAATATTCTGAAATTTCATTAACGTAACGGAAGACTATTATGATTATTATGATTATATTAATCAAATTTGACACCAATCTAAAGCATTATAATGGGCTGTGATTGTTTAAATACTTTTGTAATTTCTACGAAATGGTTACATCTATACATGTATCAAATATCTTACAATTTCTATATACAAATACATATAAAACTGGATTTATAAAATTTGATTTCTGTTTCCTTCGAAATAGTTTTCTCCAAACAATTTCCAAAAGCTTTAACTTCATTTTTGAGAAGAAGTTGTATAAGATCAAAGATTCAATAAAAAAAAAAGAATCGTCTTTCACTTGATTGATTCTGATTAAATGTCAAGAGATAGAAAAATTTCAAAACCATTGTCAAATTGCAAGATGTTCATACTTCAATTATTTTTAGCATACATTAAGATGGTAGTTGGCAAGATTATAGACTAGTAATTCGTAAAACCACTAAACTTGTTTGATGCTGGTACTAAGATAAAGTCTTTTTGATGAGATCTCGTATTTTTACATTTGTTTCAAACTTGACAATATAATCATATTAGACGGTTTATTAATTACAATGTTAATAATTATTTAGATTACGGATATCTCATCAATTTTGATGATTTTTTAATATATTGTAGATCTTAATATTTTGAACAATTTTTCTTAGCGACTCTCAAGATACCAACAATTATTGTTACTGACTCTCTTCTAATATAATAAATTTGCTGCTTGACATCTGTCAGATACTGACTTCCTTTGTATCATATTTTATGAATTTAAATTACATTATAGTTTTAAAGGAAAATCCTGGATTCGAAGATTCTAGATTTGACGGATAATATTGTCGACCAACATAATGAACTAATATTAATACTCCTCTTTCAAAAAAGCTACATAGTGGTTTCTCGGTTAAAATTCAATCAATATTTTGTCAGCAACATTATCGGTTAAGTCTGGTTTCTTACAGTTTCACATATATAGTTGTATGTGAGCTTTTGTATTGTTTTTTATGAATATTTCGGAAACTAAGAAAGTCCATTCAAAATATTGAGTTTTACAATATATTTAAAAATCAACGAAATCAATGAGTTATTTATAATCTAAATAATAATTATTCAAAATATTTGGACACTTATAGGAACTTTTTATGAATATATCTTATACATAAAAGTTCCTATATGTGTTCGAATACTTTCGTGAACAACTGTATGTAAATATAATTAGTATGTAAACATTTATATTAACGGTTAAGAAATGGTTATGATATTCTTTGCCTATGTATATTATTACTATTACATTACATTATTAATGTAAAATATATTATTACTGTACGTTAATTGGAATCTATTTTTACTTCAGCGAACGTACGATCTTAAATGGAAAATCTGGAACGAGGACGAGCAAGAATGTTGTTTTATGTTTCAAATTAAGATAACAAAATGACATGTTAATTACATATGATTCATCATTTCATCATGCTCAATTAAAATTTACGATTCGCTAATTTAATAAAATAAACGAACACTTATTAATAAGAATTCCCTTATTCTTTTCCGTTTAATAATCTACATATGTATATATGTATAATATATATATATATATATATGTTTATATAAGTTTATACATATTCATCTATCAAGTTTTTTTTATTTTTTTACAATGTAAGATGCTATTATATAATCTTTTGAGCTTTTCAATATCTAAATTATTTTAATATTAGTTTAGAGAAGAGATATAATTTCGAAAATAATCGAAAATTTAATAGATTGAAGGTTCGAATTTCAATAAGACTTTCAAACATTGTTTGGAAAAACCACTATTAATTGGTCACTTTAATTTTTTTATTTAGTTTTTTTCTTCTTTAATGAATAATTATATTCTACTTTATTGGTACATACATATATTTAAGAAACAAGATTATAGAAAAGTTTTAATTTATGAAAGAATGTGTTGAACAAATAAATAAATATGATATTTATTAAGTGTAAATATGCTATATTTTCTTATAATTATGTATGTTAAATTGCCTTATTCACTTCTAGTACACATCAGGTTAAATACTATTCAATTAAGCAATATAATTTTATATTGCAATATGATTAAAAAGTCAGTTTTTAATGCTAAAGTTATATTATGATAATATTAATTTATAATAGTGAAGTAAAATATAATATATTATAAATAATATAAAAATATATAACCATATAATATGCAAAATCTTTTGTATATAATATGTAAAAAAACATGTGACTTTTGGGTCATTTTCATTGCTGATTTCTTTTATACAATTGTTATGTTTTATATATCTGTTAATATTAGTAAAAAAAAATATTGGAGAAAAAAAAAAGAGTATCGCTGCGGATAGGATTCGAACCTATGCGGGAAAAACCCATTGGATTTCGAGTCCAACTCCTTAACCACTCGGACACCGCAGCTTATGTAAGTCTTTTATTTTTAAAGTCTATTTTATTGTACAACTATAATATTGATAAATACAAGTATAATTTTGAAGATATGTACCAAATAGTAGTCAAGAATATATATAAATAAAATTTCATGAATTAATAAATATTTATTCAAATTTGAAGGATCTTACAGTTTTTAAAAAATATTTATACAATTCTAGAAGAATCAATCTTATAAAAAAAATATCGCTTTTGTAATTTTCATACAATGTTGTAAAATAAGATCAATCTAATATACAATGCTTTCTTGCATGTCATACCTATAATTCAAGCACAGACAAAGTATGTATAGAATGGACGTAAAACAAATAGAATTGTTGATAATTGAAGAAATGGCAGTCAGTTATGCTTATAGGTATTTTTTTGTCGTATATTTATGGAATTTCATTCTGTATCATACTATTTTGTATCACATTTTGTCATATTGATTTGGGTAGGTATTAATTTGCAGTGCTATTGATTATAAAAATCAAGTATCTAAATAAAAATACAATCATAATTTCTTCTTAAATAAATACTTATAGTTTTGATAGGTTCAGTTGATATATGTTTTTAATTTCAAAATATCTTGTAAATCATAAAGTATTGGACCTCAAAATCATGTTTGTATAGATTTTTTTTTTTTATCCGGAGTTCAAAGTCGCATCAATCACTGAGTGCATTATTAGCGATTCAAGGTCATGTTTATAATTGGTTGTGCAATTGGGTTTATTTTAAGTAATGTAGTAGATTCTGGATTGTTTCTTCAGGATGTTTTCTAAAGGGGCTTTTATGTTATGTTGTTGTTTTTCTGTAGAATATTTTCTGCAATGGAAGATGTTCCACTGTCAGGTTGGTGGTTCACAGGTTGGTCGTTCTTCTCTGTTGAGGAGATATCGGTGAGTAAGCTTCGTGTGTCCCAGTATAATCCTTGAGACCACGACCTGGTCATGTTTTGGGAGGATGTGAGATATGCTTTTTTTAAAAAAGTTTTCTTTTATTGTAACTAATCGTGGGGGGGGGATGAATTTTTCCATTTGTTGTTCCATTCATCTTCAATCCTTTGTTTCAAGATATGAGTTAGAGTTTCTGGTGGTAGGTTGTTGTGAAGTTAGTTAGAGGATAGGGAGTTGGCTGGCTCTTTGGCCGCTTTGTCGGCTGTTTCATTTCCGACAATACCAACGTGGGAGGGAACCCAGATTATTGTTACCGAATTATTTCTTAGGGTAGCTTCTGTGTAGGATTTGACAGTCTTGGATGACTGCGTCGTTGGTCTAGCGGCTTTGAATTGTTGTACTGGCGTTTATGGAATCGCAAAAAATGGCGAAGTTCTTGTTTCGATGGGACATAGTGATTTCCATGGCATGTTTTAATGCGTTGAGTTCGTAAAAAAGGGTTGATGCTTCTTGGTGCAGTTTAATTTTTTGAATCACTTGATCATTAATGACTGCATATCCATAGCCGGAAGGAGTTTCGGAATCGTCAGTGTATAACTGGGTATGAGTTAGTAGTTTGTTTTGTAGGAATAGGGACTTTAGTATGATATGATTGGTCTTCTTATAGCTATGCTCTAGTAGCGAAGTATTGTCCTCGATTTTTGGAATGTTCCAAGGAGGGATGCTATGGATTGATCTTTTTGTAGTGGTCTGGATTTCTATATTAAGTTCTTTCAAATAATTATCTGTTCTGTCGTAGAAAGAAAAGGGGATTTTTCTTTTCTTCGATTACGTAGGTAAAGTGTAATTCTGTTTGAAGATGTTTTGGTATACAAGGTTGTTTTAGAAAGCAGGCCGCTTTGATTGCAAATTTAACACTTAAATACTTTCTTCTGGTCTGTAACGGTGGTTTGGATATTTCGCTGAGGATACCATTTATTGGGCTGGTGCGAAAAGCACCTACGGTTATTCTAAGGTGTTGTGAATTGTGTTTAGTTTTTTGAGTATCCTAGGGCTAGCGGAGTTATAGACAATTGATCCGTAGTCTAGTTTTGATCTTATTATTGTTTTATATGACAGTAGCAGTGTATTTAAATCTGCCCCCAGTTGTTTGCAGCGATTGTTAAGTATATTGAGTTTCTAGTTGCAATCTGTTTTCAGTTTGTCGTTGTGTGGTTTCCATGTCAGTTGGCGATTGAAGGTTAGTCCAAGTAATTTAATAGAGAATGTTTCCTTTAGTATCACGTTATTAAATGTTAGTTTAATATTTGGGCGTTGTCGATTTCTGCTAAAGGTAATTGTTTCCGATTTAGTGCCAGAGAATTTAAAGCCAGAGATGAGTGACCATTTTTGTAGTTTATCAAGAATTTCTTAAAGTAATGTCTGTATGATATGGGGATTTGTTCTACAGATAACGGTCAAATCATCGGTATATAAGAATCCTCTGACCGGGTTACGGTATTCAGAATATCGTTTATAGTTATCAGGAACAGGAATACGCTGAGGACAGAGTCTTGTGGAACGCTATTTTCCAGGGTTTTTGAGGTCGAGAGAGTGTTGTTGACTCGAACTTGAATTGATCTTGTGGTCAGGAAATTACTAATAAAATTTGGGATTTTAGGATTTTAGGATTTAGGAAGCTTAGGATATTATGGCTTTTAAGGCCATGTTTTTTTAGAGGATGTTGATGATTCGGTTTCTCCATGTCATTTTGTAGGCATTTTCGATATCTAGACATACCGCAATTGCGTACTGTTTGTTGGTAAAGGTGCGTACGTGTGACTCTAAATTAATTAGCTAGGTTAATTAACTTCCATGATTCTAATCAGTGACTGAGTGCGTTTGGGTTTTTTTCTCAGGTTGGTTGGTGTTCATCAGGTTTAAGTCCTTGGTGTTTGAACTTGCGGTTGTCAGGTTAAATTCTTTTTCTACCTGGCCCTTCGAGGAGATTGATAATAGCTTTTTGTTGGGAATGGAAGTTTGAGGAGTATTTGACTCGCAGGAAGTGTCGTCGTTTTTATAGGAGTAGTCCATGGGTGTATCAATGGCGTTGGTGGTCGCGATTTCATTGATTTCTCTGTTTCTAGATTTAATAAGATTTCCGGTTGGACTACTTGTAGTTTCCTGGATATTGATAGTATGCCGTGACTGTTCTGGTATTTTTGGTGATTAGTCACTATTGGTTGGATTTGGTACAATTGATTTTGATGGGTTATTGCATTGTTTTGCTCTTCTTGCTTGCATAGGAAACGACTAACTTTGTTGGTTGATACAAAAATTCTGTATTGCGTGTCTTCATGAGTAATTAAGAATGTGTGTTTTTCATAAAATGAAAAAATATAGGTATGCAATTAAATAAATGTACTTTTTGTTAATAAATTATAATATAATTATTTTCTATTTCTATCAATCTAGATTATATCAAATAAAATCTAAATTTACTTGTACGGATTTTTAACTTATTTTTCTTTTAAAAATTTTCAAGTGCGTAAAATTTCCGTAAAAAAAAATTCTTCGTGCGACTAAAAATAGGAGTATGATTTGGGCCTCGAAGGAAGACAGGTCTCTCCCTATCCAAATCTAGTGTTCAAATTTGTTTACGCTACGATAATATTTATTGAATTGCTAGGAAACTTCAATACTCCTAGAATTTAATCTTAAAATTTCAGTATTCCTAAAATTTAATTAAAAAGAATTGAACATTTGACAAAGTAATAACAAATTTTAAGAATCACGAAAAGATGTAAATACATCACATGCTTTTTAAATCTCTATACTTTAAACTTGAATTCTTAAATTGGTGCTAACATGGTATAAAGGATCATGTAGTACAAATTATCTTTTGCAGATCATCTAAAGGCGGAAATTTCAGAATCAAGTTCTTTTTTAAGTGGTACCGTAGATGCATACATATATACATAATACAATGGAATAATTTGTTAAAATGTAAACAATGTAAAGAGTGTAGAGGATAGGTCCTAATACGCTTCCTTGCGGTATTTCTGCATTTATGTGTTGTACGCTAGAGTATGAACCTTTCATTTTAACATAAAATGTTCTCTAAAGGGTATGAATAATAATGATATTTAAGAAGGTATGTAGGAACGTAGGAAGGATTTGGGTAAGGTGAGGAAAGTGAAATAGGTTTCGTCTCAGGAT